GCTATTTGCTTATTCTTTTCTTGCATGTCACGATTTACCTTGTGTAGAAGAAAAGGTAACAAACTTGTGATAAAATTAATGGAGACAACATTTTTCCCATTGTATTTATCAGGCACAGTTTTTTAATGTCTTTTGTTAATAAACTATAACTCAATTAGTGTTAATATCCCTTCTCCATCCAAAAAAGTTTCGAGTTCGAACCTCTTATTTGTAAGAAGAAATCACACTGTTCTTCCATTTAACGCACGCATTCATCCCATAAAAGGAAGGGTCATGGGCTTTGATATTTCTTGTGGGAAGTTCAGTATCATTCTCTACAGAACAATGGATGGAGTAACGTTTAATTCTAGTCTCTAGCTTTAATATATCATATGGTATGTTTGAAGAAAGCATGATGATAGAGAGGACAGGTAATCTTTTACATTTGTCTGTATCGACCGATCTTTGATATGATTGTGATATTGGCTCATCTGCCCTGCAACTCCTGATACCTGAAGATGGCCAAAGTTCTTCGGACATCAAAACAAAAGAGTACTCACCACAGGCATACTCGTGGCTGAGGAGTTCACAGCACGACTCCATGTGTGTGGATGTTTGCCGCACATCTCCCTCGACATCGATTTTCGATGAAGCAAGACTCACATTTTACATGGGACAAAGCAAAGAATCCCATGTGCAATTAATTAAATTGGTTTTAAATTAAGAGGTTTGTTTTTTTATTTTTTATAAATTATTAATTTAAATATTATAAATTTTAAAGTTATTAAAAATTTATATTATTATTAATTTCAAAATTTATCTTAAGAAATTAATTAAAATATATGAAAGTTGATCCGGATATTATAATTAATAATAAAAATAATAATTAAACTAGTATCCTTACCTTAAGTTTGTAAGAAATTAATTTTTCATAAATGCAGAGTGGATTGTTAAGACTCTATCAGATTAATGTGTAAAAAATAATCAAAAAATGTCCTGGCACCTTCAATAATAATAATAATAAAAACTAGCCATCTCATGTGATTGAAGGTTATTGTCACGTCACCTCGTAATAGTGTCATTTTCATATATATTTATTTCCACGATTACGGTTAAGAGTTTCCTTCTTGTCATTACAAGAGCAGGGATGCATTCTTCCCTCATAGTCACTTTTTACCTTTTTAATAATAATAATAATAATAATAATAGAAAGAACTTCTAAATAATGTCTATTTTATGTGTGATGTTAGTTTTTATTTTATTTTTTTTACAACAAGTAAATAAAAAAATATTAATTTTTTATTTTTTCAAATAAGATATTTTTAAAAAATGAAAAGCTAGTACACACTCAAATTGGACTGAATAGTTTATGTGGGCTCCAGCAATGGAAGGACAACCGAGTGATTGAAATTGGACCCCAGAGAGACAGTAGTTTTCATCTTCATGGTCCACAGAGAATGATTGTATCTGCACAAGAAAACCCATTTACTTTGTTGCTACACAAGAAAGACTACCTGTACTTGAGTTTGTTTGTCAAAGACTGGGCAAGAATTTAGCTGGGCCCATGAATAATTGGTTCCGTCTGATGAGTCTACGAATTAATATTTTGCATCAGCACCGCTCCTTTGAGGCCAGACTTTGTAGATCTGATCAGTTGTGGGCCCTTCTCAACTGTACAATGACGTGGTAGTTTAGATGAGTTGTCAAATCTACTATAGGATCGTACCAGGTACAGTAACTGAGAAAATGCAATTCTGTGCTCTCTTCTTCCTTCATAGTTATTTTGCTCCCGTTACCTTTTGGTGGTACGGTCGTAACATCGTAACAAAGATTTACGTAATGATGGGTATCATGTAGGTCGTTAGTTTTTGAAATATTTTTTTTATTTTGAAATATATTCAAATAATTTTTTTATTTTTACAATTTATTTTTATATTAATATATTAAAAAAATATATTTTTATTAATTACAGTGTCACTATAAAACAAATACTACGGGCTTTGTTTATTTTTAGTTTTTAAAAACTTTTTAAAAAAATTAAAATTTTTTATTTTTTATTTTAAATTAATATTTTTTATTTTCTTAGATCATTTTAACATACCAATATTAAAAATATTTTAAAAAAAAATATTATTTTAATGAATTTCAAAGCAAAAGGTATTTTATAAAACAATCATAATTATATTTTCAAATATTTTTTTAATGTGTTTCATATCATATTTTATGTTATTGTATAAAAAAGATAAATCTAAAAAAATACTTTTAGTTAAAATTTTTAAAATATAAGTTTGAATAAATATATATTTACTTAAAAATTTAGTAAAAATTGTTATTGTTTGCAACATAGATAAAAAATAAGATTTTTTTTACAAAATATATTATTTTAACCTTTATAAAACCAAAATTTGAAACAGAATTATAAGTCAATACAAAAACAGAAACTATTTAATTAATCAACCAATTAATTCTATAGTTAAACAAAAAAAACAAAAACTAGCATAACAACAAACTGTCATAAAGAGGAAAAATATCGGAGGAGAGGGTGGAAAAACATAGGCTAGCCTTTAGACTTTATTCGAACCGCATCCTTTTTCTGCCCTTTAATTCTGCTTCAGCGTTGCTTGAAAGTGTAAGTAGTAGATGTGATATAAAATGTTTTTTTTTTTTAATATTAAAAAATATATTTTTTTTAATATTAGTATATTAAAACAATTTGAAAATTAAAAAAAGATAATATTTTTTAAAAATAAAATTTTCAAGTTTATACTAGTAGAACATACTATTAGATTTGACTATAAAAATAATAAAAAAAATTCTGATATTATTACATATTTTCTTAAAACTCATTTTAAAAGCATGGTTTGAACCCTTGAGTTCATCTCAAAAGCCGAAGAGCTCGTGTTAAAATTGGTTTTCATGCTATATTAACCCTGCTAGGCCCCTTAAACAATAATGGTTTTTTTTTATAATTTATTTATTCGCTTCGACTATGCTGGATAAGTATTTTGAATTAAACCCATCATTTGATGTTTGGAGTTACGTGGGATTTATTAATTATTAATATTATTTTAAAAAAACTTATATTAAATATTTATCTATGATTGTTTTTAAAAATATTTTTTATTTATAAACATATTAAAATAATATTTTTTATTTTTTAAAAATTACTTTTAAAATTAGTTTATCAAAATGATTTAAAAATATTAATTTTAAATAAAAATTTAAATTTTTTTTAAATATTTTTTAAATGCAAAAAATACTTAAGGATGAATATTATTTTTTTAATAAAAAAACATAATAAGGTCGTGCAATTTATAGTTCGGTAATCATCGTCTTTTTTTTTAGAGTTATATACCTAGTTTCGCAATTATTCCTTTCTTGATGAGCCACGCGGTGCCTCTTTCTGTGGGCTGTGAAGTACGTGATGATGAGTCACAGTCAGGCATGTCCTTTCTGCAACATCAATCCATGGTTATTTAAAATTTGTGGCCCCTGGTTTTACATTTCCGGTGGCTTTTATGTCTTGCAGTTCAAGCGAAACCACACATATCTTTGTCTTATTGAAAGAACAATGATACCCTTTATTTAACCTGTTGACAGCAGGATTTGAATACCGGTGGTTTTTATTTATAAATATATTAAAACAAAATCTTATTATTTTTTATAATTTTAAAAAAATTGGAAAGTCTTTGAAAACATGGCTGTAGCTTAAAAACAAACATTTTCAAAGAAATAATAAAAAAAAGGAAGATAAGATAAGATTTAAAGATACAAGAACGAACATGTGGGAAGTTTTCATTGGCTAAACTATTTTTAATGAGTAAAGCAAAAAGGTTTTTGGCAGCAAGCTACTCAATTAGCTTGCCAACTACAAAAGCACAAGTTTTCTTGACTCGGGGCAAAGTTAATGATGTTTTCCGAGAATGCTTTAGGGCTCGGACCCATTGGCTGCCTTTCTTTTTGGTCCATTGATCAACGGCTCCATTCTTTACCTTGAATTCTTAATGATCAACATGACGACAAATTGATCTCAGGGGAACACAACACAATCTCCTCGTTTTCTCCACATTTGGGATTTGCTTTATTCTTGTCTCCTTTTTTTGTCAACACCTGTTAGATTTCCCTTCTACCACACTACCTTGTACCTCTTAACGCGTCCGAGGGTGGCAATTTTCACAGAGCCATCAATCAACTACGCATGATGCATTGTGAGTGCTATCTGCGAAAGAACATACGGACACTGGATGATCGATCAATGGCGGGGTTCAAGAAAATGGGCCAGCAAGGGCTTGGTTTTGCCACCCATCCTATATGGCTATCGCCAGTTCTCTACCTGGAATCGGGAACGTTCAAGTTTTAATGATCATGGACGGTGATGATTTCGTAAATCAGATGTGCATGAGAGTTTCTCAAAAATCAAACCAATTTAGCACGCACAGCTTCACTTTTTTATAGAAAGAAATACATGTATCCTATAGTCATCCAACTTTTCAATGGAGCAATCATAAAATCTGAAGAGCATCATAATTCTTCCTGCTAAAAAGAAATACTAGTTACTCCTAGAGAGTATCTTAAGATTTTCTGTCGCAAACTATATCATATATACACCAAAAAGTAATTCTCATGAACGGCTATATGATCACTTTCATTTAAACTCATGGTAAAAGAGTATACCAGAGCCCAGAGATGGAGTCACGATGGTCAATAAAGAGCCCAGCGCCAAGAGGAACCATGTCACCGAGCACCATACGGGCACAAAGTCCTCTTTGTTCTTGATATTGTTGACGCCTATACGGCATGGGATAAAGATTTCACTGCGCCATTAATGGTGCGTAGAGCCAGGCAAGCAAAGATATTACTGCGGAACTAGTAAGAAAGGCGATGATGTATGGTAGTAACATGCATAGCAACAAGCAATGTTGCAATTCACAGACTGCATTCTACTAAACTGAACTGGGAGGTAAACGAAAAAAGAAAACAAGAACATATGCCCTTGTTAATTCAAATAACAAAAAATCTATAAAAAAAATCTGTACAATTGATTCCAATCAATTTGATCTCTGCAAATCAAAACAAGAGTAATGGTCCTTGATGTATACTAGATTACAAGATTGCTAAGTGCTGACCAGAAACAGAGTGACAAGCGAGCGTACAGGCCAATCTTATTGCCTGTCCAAAATTCCTTCCTACCACGACCACTGCCAGAGCTAAACTACAAGTTCACAACTAGCAAAAATATACTTGCATCTGTTGATACTGTCAGCGTACAGGGAAAAAGAAATGAAGTAAAGCATGTACTGACTCTGAAGGCGCATTTCTCTAGCTAGAGTTTCGCCTCGATGAAGCTGAAAAGGAATAGCAGGTGGTATCAATATTGATCTCCTTCACATCCTTGGACGATCAGAATTTGTCATGTTCATAACTCGCTTTATTGGGTATCTTGATTGATTAGTGTGCATAAATTAAGAAATACCTGACCTAAAATGAGATGGGTCTTTAGAGGGAAACCGTATAAGTATAACCAGAAGAACATTACGCTCAGGGACATCAATCACTTCAAACAGACTGAAGGACAGGCAACAATGATAAGTTCACCAGACACAATGATCCCTCGCTTGAATTAAGAAGCCAAAAAAGTTCCTTTTAGATTGCTTGCCTTGACATCACAGGGAAAAAAAGAGAGAAGGTAGAATAGTATCAAACCCCCCTGCAAGTGAAAGCGCCTGTGCACAGAAAATGGCGATGTAAATGCGAGGAGTGGTAGGTCAGGACGAGAATGGGAGAGAAGAGATGCCATTTGCCCATTTTTCATATAAAACCAAAAATGCATCGTCTTCCAATTTGGGAGATTCTGAAATTCCAAAAAAGATTGCCTTGTTATCAACAAAGAGAAAAATTTCAACGGTTTAGCATGACTCACAAGAACAAATGCATACAGGAAAAAGAAATCCTGGAAGATCTCTAAGAAGCACCAATGAGATCAATGATGAGTTGTAGAAACAGGACTTTAAGATGAGAAAACTGGTGTTAATGTCTTCTCGTGACGTAGACCCCCAGGGAAATAACCTTTTATAACCGGATTTAAAAATAATAAAAAATGACACAGTTTGTCAAAATTTTCGGAAGGACGATATAGATTGAAAATCATATTTGAAAAATAGAACAGTTTATACATTGTTACTAATCTAGTAACGGTTATTTAGTCCTGTTTCAAAAAACATGTTGCAAATTAATTAATCTTAATCAAAACTAACTTAAAATTTTATGAACATCTAATGAAAAAAAAAAGATAAAATTAAAAAAATATTAATGAGATAATTATTATTATATTTTAAAAGATTTGTGATTAATTCTAAATTAACAGCAAACAAAATTCCTATTCAATTACGATATTATCTGGTAGTTCTAAATTAATTGTGAATAAAACTTTTAATCAATTATGATATTATATAGTGATCTTTTAATATATGGTTAAAATCATCTAGTTGTGATTTTTTTAATAATATTAAGTATATCAAAAAGTAAGCTATGCTGTATTCGTAATGATGAATTCTTCATTTTTTCCTTTACTATTTTTTATTTGTCAAATTAGCTTCTCTCTGAGCTATTAAATTTTAAATCTCATCTCTTGATTTTTGAATATTTATAAAATAAATTTTAGGTTAATTTTTGTAAGTGTTAATTAATTTGTAGGCAATATGAATTTTGAAACAATTGTGTTCATACTTGCTATTTTTTTATTACACGTATTATTTTTACAAAAATTTTATTAATCCATGTAAGAATGACAAAAGACCCTAGATATTACCCTGCAAATTAAATGCAAAATTTGGCCATGCCCAATTTACGGGAATGTACCCAATTTGGCAGCTGAACTGCATCTCTGTTCTGAAATACCAACAGGTGAGATAACTAGAGGTTCCGTGGAGTTTCTCCTCCTTCCACCACCTCACAATTCTGAAAACCAACACTTCTTAGCACAGCTAATGCCTTCTAAGGAAATTGAACCATGGCTGACCCATCAGAAAGCACTAATTATCCATTCGCCCGCTTTCGAACTGCTTCAGATGCGCCAGGAACTTCAGCTCTGGTTGGTATAGGATCGACCGTGGATTCAAACAGCTGTGGTGTAACAACAACAGGCTTATTTTGCCATCTGCATAGCAGAGAAATCTGCTTTTGTGCTGATGGGACCTGTTCTAGTGTAATTTGTGCAACTAAATCTCTTCTGGCTACCATGGCTCCATCTGATACGTGAATGATTCCTTCCAAATTCTTCTAAGAGTCAGTGCTCTCCATATTTGCGTCGACTGCAACATCCCCTCGGCAATGAACTCATTACCAAGATACACATCATGGTTCCAAATAAAGCATGTTCATAACCAAAATTTAATATTTTGACCATTTCGATTGGAAAAAAATGACGTCTTTGCTTTCAAAATAAAATTCCAGCATGACCATTTTGTTCCTAGAGTCGTGTTTACAATGCCATTCTGCACTAGAGCTGGTATAAATTTGTGCTTTGAAGAATTCCTGTACATGGAAAGTTTCCAGAAACGACAGTGTGAAAAGTAGCTGACATGTCATCCATCCATATTCCAGTTTAACAAAGAAAAATTCATTATTTCACCATCATAACGTAGTTTCTTCCGAGTAGCAACTTCGCAAAATCGAAATCTGAGATATGTCTGCAAATCCATTTCTAAAGGGATGCTTTCAATACCTTTTATAATATGAATATCAGTGCTAGGCTTGATGAATGTCGCATGCTAGGCTTGTGGTGCTTTAGCTTTTTTTACGGGAATGGGCCTTCCGAGCTCTTACCCTAAAACCATTTTCATGGTGGGTTTGGGCTCAATCTGTCCAAGCCCACCTATCAAAGGGTTTGGTTTTAGATTAACCCTTGGAAACCCACCAACTCGAGCCCATGAGAGCTCAAGAGTAGGTTTAGGTCCCTGAACCCGATCTATATTTTTGTGCTCGGTTTGACTTACATGAACCCATCATCCAATAACTGGTTTGAGCTCGGGCTAGCTCCTAGTAAACCCATCAACCTGATTCCACAGGAGCTCAATGAGAGCTAGATCTCAAAACTTGAATCCATTCCATCTTTAATAAATTGGGATTAGCCACTTGTTAGTGGTGTGGACTGGGATGAGATCTTAAAAAACCTAGTTTTTTTTTTTTTTATGAGATCTTAAAAAACCTAGTTTTTTTTTTTTTTAAAAAAATAAATTCTACATTGAGTTAACTAGTGATAATCAACGTTATCATAAAATCATATTAATTCAGTAATTTAATTTTATGTTGTCATGGAATCATATTAATTCAATAATTTAAATTTTTAGATAAAATCTTTTAATATAATTTATATTATTATTTAACATATCTCATCAGATAAAATCTTTTAATATAATTTATATTATTATCTAACATGTCTCATCAGATAAAAAAAAAATTAATTTTAAATTTATATATATCTATACTATTTTATACTTAATTAAAAACAGTAAGAATAAAATTTATAATCTAACATGTCTCATCAGATAAAAAAAAATTTAATTTCAAATTTATATATATCTATACTATTTTGTACTTAATTTTTATTAAGTAAATAAAAATAGTAAGAATAAAATTTATGATCACTTAGCTATCAAAATTCTAACATTGTATCGATAATCTATCTCAAATCACAACTTAAACTTATAAACAATATCTTGAGATATAATTTATATTATTTTTTAAATATATTGTTATTTTTTAAGCTTACAAACATGAAATTATGACATGCTCATGTCTATAATCATCCAAATATCTTATTTTACAATCAATAATTATTTAAAATAATCAAACATAAAATTAGATCACATATTTTATTTGCATCTTTGCCCCTACAGAAATACTAGATTTATGGGTATACAAGGATCCCATGATTAACATGCACGTGTCTTATCCCATCAACTCATTGACAAATACTCGAAAGCCTGGACTCTCTTTTTTAACCTCGGATCATCTTTTGCATATTCGTAAATACATTCTCAAGCTTCAGTTTTACTTAATCAACATCTTAAAACATATTAACTAAATCATTTAACTTAAAACTCTATCCTCACCGTAATCTGGATCCTGAAGTTTTCAAATCAATTAATCAAATCAGACTGTATTTAACAATTATAACCCCTAAATATCTATCTATCTATCCCGTTAACATTTATCTCAACATTCAAATCAAATGATTAACCGCAAAATGAATTGTTCTACTTCGAGCTCTGGTAAGTAGTTTGTCCATTAAAAAAAAAAAGGCCACGTTCACCACTAATCTCCATGCATATAATAAGTAAAATGTACATGTTAGTATTTTTTCAGAATTGAAAATATTCAAATTGCTGGGAAAAACATATGCAAGTTGCTGTCCTGGGCGTGGACATGTATCTACAGGAGACAACCTTTTTACCTGTCATACCAGAAATATACTAAAACAAAACATATAAACGGTCTAAATGGGCGATTCACTCAGGAGCAATGGAGGAAGCAGAGAGTTATTGCTTTGTTTTTTAAAGTATTTTTATTTATAAAAATATGTTAATAATATTTTTTTTTAAAAAAATTATTTTTAAAATTATCACATTAAAATAATTTAAAAATATTAAAAATATATTAATTAAAAAAATTATTTTTTTTTTAAAATACTTTTCAAACATAATCCCAAGCGCCCACTAGGTGAGTAGGACAGTAGAGCACTGGGCTTTCACTTTACGGGGTCACGCTACAGCAGAAGGTAAGGGTAGCTCTCGCAATAAAATGCAAATGCAAAGGAAATTAGAATGTTTATTAAACCTGACATGCTTAGATGCTGTCACTCAAGAGATTTGTAATTCAAAACGTAACAAGCATTATATTTTAATTTTAATTAAAAAATACTAACCTTATTAAATTAAATTGGTTAATTGAATTAACCCTTGTCAACACAGTTGGATAACCAATAAAAAATTAAAAACTTAAAATAATATTATTCACATAAAAAATAATTAAGTTAGTTTAACCATGACCTGTAAATTAAGCCAATGACCTATAAATTAATCTATTAATCTAATAATTACAAAATATTAGATCAGATATATACCTTTAACTATTAAGGTAATGAATAATAATTGTTTTTTAAAGTAATTTTATTTAAAAATATTTTTTTCAAATTTATTTTAATATCATTTCATCCAAATAATTTAAAATTATAAAATAAATTAATTTAAAACAAAAAAAAATCAGAAACGCTTTTTAAACAGGAAAACAAACATACTCCAAGGGTAAAACCCATAGAACAGAATTAGAAAGGAAAACAAAGCCAAAAATTTCGAAATCGAAAATTTGGAGAATTATTTCCCACCAAAAGAAGCCGCCCCCCTGGGTTTTTGCGCATTCAAATTCCCACCTTCCTTATTAAATTTATTATAATCCTCAACATCAAACGCTAGCCACTCATTTTCACTCAATCTCTACAGTTCCCTTTCCTCTCCTCTCCAGATTCAAAGCTCCTCAGGTCTCTCTCTCTCTCTAACTCTCTCGATTTTTTTTTCGTTTTCTTTTAAATTGGAATCTTGGGTCTTCCATATTTTCTTTACTCTGCCCCTTTACGTTCAAATTCTTTTGAATTCTATCAAGATCTTTGCTTTTAGATATTCCAAATTCCAAATTTCTCGTTTGCCTAAAAAGTCCAGCCCAGATCTCTCTCTCTCTCTCTCTCAACTACAAATCTCTGTCAGTTGCTCTCATTTCTGGGGGTTACCTATATCTTTACTCTGATTTTGCTAATAATTTCGAACTATGTTTTGCTAACAGCCTCCTAGAGGCACAGCCTTTTACAAATTTTCTTCATCTTTGTATTTTTTTTGTGCCTCTTGTTTTATTTGTTAACTATTTATCAATCTGAGAATTTGAATTTTTTAAACAAAAGGTGAAAGATGGCTGGGAAAGGAGGAAAAGGGCTTCTGGCAACGAAAACAACTGCAGCGGCTAACAAGGACAAAGATAAGGACAAGGACAAGAAGAGGCCCGTCTCTCGTTCTTCTCGTGCTGGCATTCAGGTAAAATGTATACCCAATCAAATTAATTTTCATGCGTTCATTTATCATTGCTAATTTGACTGATTCTAGCAGTAAATCAAAGGTCGTTGCTTTGATAGTTTTTATTACATGTTACAGCTTGTTTGGGATTGTCATGTCTTGCAAAAACTGTCTTATAATTGCCAGTGTTTGTTCTTTTCTTCCTGGTTTTGTACAAAAACAGCTGTGATTTTAAGGAAGTGGGTCTTCTTCTGCTTAAATAGAATCACAATTTTAGGCATATGAAATTACAAGCACATAATTTTAAGAAAATAATTAGGAGTTAACGAAATGAAACGTGTAATTTTAAAGATCCCTAAGCTTGCTAGTGTGTGTTAATATAGGTAGTATCTGACTTGACCTAATCAGAAGAATGGTAGTCCATCTTGTTTTAAAATTTATTTGAAGTACTTTTGTTTTGGGTAGAAAGAACTGATATTGACATTACTTTAGTTTATATAGTAAGATTTTGGTTATAGTGCTGCATGTATTCTAACTGATATTGACATTACTTTAGTTTATAGAGTAAGATTTTGGTTATAGTGTTCAAGAAGTTTTTTTTTTCTATCACAGTGGCATTTGTTCAAGACTGTTTAGATTTATTGACGATGTTTGGATTCATTTGACATGATTTTCTTATGTCCATGATCGATGGGTGTAGTTCCCTGTGGGTCGTATCCACCGGCATCTAAAGCAAAGGATATCAGCTCACGGGCGAGTTGGGGCCACCGCTGCTGTCTACCTGGCTTCAATCCTTGAATATCTGACGGCAGAGGTTCTTGAGCTTGCTGGAAATGCTAGCAAGGATCTGAAAGTGAAAAGAATCACACCAAGGCATCTTCAGCTGGCCATTAGAGGAGATGAGGAGCTGGATACCCTCATCAAGGGAACCATTGCTGGTGGTGGTGTCATCCCTCACATTCACAAGTCTCTCATCAACAAAACCACCAAAGAATAAAGTTTTTGGCATCTGATCTCAAGTTGCTTTCAGCTGGACAATCATGTGTTTAATTTAGTGACTGTATCTGGGTTTAGGTTTAGGTTAAGGTTAAGTTAGACTTGTTCGGTATTAATGTTGTGCTTGCGTTTGTGTAGGACATCTTGGTTAAGTACATATCGTTTGACTTCTAGGTTTGTCCTCTAGAACTAGTTCCTTCGTTTAGAATAGGAATGTTGTTTGTTGGATCGGTACCTTAAATTTCTTTCAAAGTTTCTGTGCTTCTAAATGCTGTGTTTTATAATCATGCTACTAGAAACTAAAAGGTGATGAAGGTAAATTGCTTTTGAATTTATCATTAATGGAAAAGGGTATTCTGCGACGGCTTAGCCACTTTCTGGCATGAAGATTATGCCAGTTGTTGGTCTGTTGCATCCCAGTTTAGTACTCCAGGCAATTCACTACTTACCAGCAACAAGATTTTCTCGGTTGTGATTTAGATCCGTTGAGTTCCAGGTTTTGAGGTGAAGGGTGAAGGTTGTTGAACAATGCATCCGTGAATTATTTATGAAACCGATTAGAAAGGTCTCTTCGATTTTACAAATTGTTGTCCTAAATTCACTGTATAGCATAGTGTCATTAAAAATGTAAATCGGATAGCCTTATCCTGCAATAGAAGTTTCCTCTCTTTCCATAAGAAAGACGAGAGAAAAACAGAGTTGAGTTTCATCAGCAGGAAAAAATGAGAAAAAAAATAAAATTGAAGCACGAGTGCACTTCTAGCTAATCAAGAAACTTGGGAAATGGTCGATGATCACGTTTCTTGGCAAGCTCATCTAAATGGCGGTATTGCAGAGGTTTTTGGATTATTTCAGAGAAGGGAAACATGGCAGATTGGTTCGATTTATCGAAGATCCCATGCATGTGCCCAAATATAGTTTTTGAGAAGGCCAAACACTAAGACGAGACAGGTTAAAACAGGCGGGGTTATTGATGCGGCTTGGGTGCTATGTAACCAGCTCTTCATTTTCCCGGCTGTGGAGGATGGATGAGAGACTGTATTGCAAAACATTTTGGGTGTCAATGAAGTCGGGCATACTAAACAATTTCTGAAGAAGAGCTTTATGTCAGTTGTGTTGAGGCTGACCTCATGGCAGGAAAGTAGCCGGAGTCGTGCTGCTAGAGAGCAGAGATTAGAAAAAAAAAAAAATCTATGTAAGAAAACTTGAACGTATCGAGATTGTCAATTTTAGACGGCGAACAAAGATTTCAGAATGCATAATTCTCATTTTTCAAAGAGTAATTATGATTTAGCCTTGTCAATTTCACGATATTGTGAGATAGTCCCTTGATTAAAGCTGGATTTTGTTTTTTTTAACAAGCTTCTAAATTGCTCTTTTTAAATGCATTTTTAATATTTTATTTAGTAGGTGAGAATGCAAATTTTAATTAGAAATAAAATACATTCCAGGGTAAAAATAATCAAGTTACAAACAAGTAGGAAAATAAAGGGAGTCCATATTAATTTTTTAAAACAAAGGGGTTAACCAATTATTTTACTTAAATAACAGGTATTAAGCAATAGTTACTCTTACAAATGATCATTCTTCCCGGGGCAACATATTTCCGCAGCTTCATATGGGCTCACTTCCGATAGGTTACCCATGAGCTTTAACAGCCCAACACACCTAGACCCTCTCCGTCCTTTTCATACGAGGGAGGCTCGAACAGGTTTTGATAATGTACAAGAGACTGTTTAAAAATATAATTGTAATTATTTTTTAAAATATATTAAAATAATATTTTTCTAATTTTTAAAAATCATTTTTAATATTAATACATTAAAATCAAAATAATATGAAAATATGAAAAAAAATACTAATTTAAAATAAAAAATAAAAAAATTTAAAAAACACTTTTAACATAAAAACCAATGCCAGACATGGAACATTTGGCGAGGTTTACGGAAAATCCCACTGAGAGAAGATTCTTTCTGAGATTGATTGATGGACTGAAAGTTGAGAAGACTGAACCCAAACAGGTTAGGCAAGCGTTGGTGTAGGAGAAATAAATTCTTAAAAGAGTGTCGTGTGTTCAATGAGTGTTGTGTGCTTGCTTATGGAATTTAAAGAAAATGATTGTAGCGAGAAATATATCTGGTAAGATCAGAGGGAAGACGGCAGGGTTGAAGATGATTTATCTCGAGATTATACAGCTTTAAACCTTTGTTCGTGTGTCCAAACAAAGGGAATACTTATGAATATACTCGACAAGTATAATTTTGAACTGCATGGAAACACGTGCTAGAAATGATAAAATGTATTTGAGAAAGCTGTTTAAATTATGAATTTCACGAGCTGTGTGCTGTTGACGATAACTATTTCATTTAATACATGTATCTCTTGTCATGGTTCTTAGCGGGTAGATCAAATTTGACCCAAGTGGAATGAACTCGAAGGTGAACAGTTGGTGTAGTTTGCTGCGTGGTTCCATCTTGACTTTTTAAGAGATCATAGCTAGCCTTCTACCCAAAGTTTAACGATGGGTGCCGTGAGTCTATTGGGTTAACAAGGACTTCTTGGAGGTTGAGCCATCGTTCTTGGATCCCATACAGAAATGGATCACATGGAGTGTCTAGACGCGGAAAAAGGTGACTCGTGCTAAAGTCTTGAACGATTAGAGAGCTTTGAATTTGCATGTATCGATCGTGAAACTTGTGTTGTATGTCATGTAACATGTGATCAAGATGTATCATCACCTTCTTACACAATTTTTTGATGAAAACCAATCACTTTTGGACGAGAAAGAAAATCTTGAGGCTCAAAGAGCAACGAAAAGTACTGATTTTAGTAGCATAAATTGATCAATGATCAACATGATGCATTAAAATTATCTTTAATAGTCTACAATATCGATCACCTCCAATCAACTCGAAATTTGGAGGAATACATCATGCCAGCGGCCCCCAATGTTGTCATGCAATAGAGAGAACTGGCTTTATCAGGAAAAACTACTTTGTGGCTCCTAAAAGAGGCATGGCAGCTCAGGAAAGTTGTGTTTTCCAGGAAAACGACATTCTGATTCTGAAAATGATCAGGGATCCATAACCTATACACGCCTTAATGACTCACAGTTTCGTTTGTTCATGTATTGTCTGTATAATTTTTAGATTTTTGAGATGACAGATTTGGAAATCTTCTTTTATTAGTTTATCATTAACAAAATGCTTGACAAACTGTTGATGAGCAAGCATATATGCCATCAGCAGCCTCCTCCATAACCAGTTATTCGATCTTTATCCAATCTTGGTCCGTGGAGGTTGGTATATTATTTTATGTTATTCTACACTCTGGTGGGATCCAAATCCAAATACATGATCGTGCCCTCTTACATCCTCAATCGTCAGTTGATAGTGAGATGGTCTCGATTAAGCTAGACATCAAATAAACATTAAATGGTGGCTCAGCGGTGGAGCCTCACACAAAATTTAATTTGGAGGGGCTGAACTTACTATAATCTTGCACGGTTTAATGTTAATAACGCATAAAAAAAGGAGTCCCAAGTCCTAACTCAGTGTCTAACGAAAATCAGCACTTATGCTTGTCCCACGGGCAGGAGCTTTCACATTCTTAACATGAACCAAAATAACAGACACCGGCTTGCATTTCTTTCTCAAATCTCTGTTCTTTTTTTTTTTTTTTATAAAAAAGAGGTTTTTTAAGCTACCGTGCAATACTTGCTCACGGAATTCTCATGTTCGTTTTCCATTCACCACGAATTTCTTTCTGAAATGGTCATAAACCACAGGTTTCAAAGAGATCCAAACATCCCTGGCTCTGGTCTAAAGTTTCATGAACCGAGTCCAATGAGGATACGTACTCAATTTACCTTAAGAAAAAATAAAAGCATAATTTGCAACTTCCCAATGAAAGATTCTTTGGATTGTGTTTTGTTTGATCCATGATGTCTTGATGTGATGCAAGTTGAATGAAAGACAGGGTGCTGCCACAAGAACCTACGCTGATCACTCAATAAGGTGACGATAATCAATGCACCGAGTAAACGTCCACTTGTACTTGCCATTATATAAATATATATATATAGATATATGCTAGTGCGAACAAGAAATGCAATAACACAAATTAAGGTTGCAAGATTCCCAAAAACCTGAAACAAAAACTACAGGATCTTCTTAACTAGGAGTTTTGTTTAAATTGCTATCTACGTATGCTCTCTTTGTTGTCATACGCTCTACTTCTGCCAAAAACTAGATCCGAAGATACAATACAAAGTCTAGGCCCTTTAACCTCTCCATCTCTTTCTGATCAACCAGAGACATGGAAGCAGGGATTCTTTGGCAAACTAGAAGTCCTACGCCATCCCTGCCGCGACAGCCGCGTGGTTGTAAGATCAAATATCACTCTCCTGCTATTCTTGCAGTTCTTACAAGAGCACCGGATAATAACATGACTGGAGTAACAGAGAAAAGGAAAGCTTCAAATCGGACAGACAAATTAGCAGGACTTACGAAAAAGACTATCTATAATGATAGCTGGTTTGCCGAGCTAGCGATAAACTATCTATCACAGCAATTTCAAGATGCTACAGGTTTAGTTAATTTCTAATATTGATTATTCATGGGCTTTTCTTCATTTCCTTTTCGAGGAGAGAAAATCAGACCATGAAAACATGTGCAGGGTTAAGAAACAGCAAGAGAGGTTATGAGAGCTTGGCGCAGACAGCTACAGATACATGGCAGAAATTCAGTCCAATTCAACAGCACGGGCTTGTGCTTCAATCTCTTAATCGAGCCATCCCCAGACTGATCTTGAACATGGCAAGTTCGATATTTTCCTTCCTGGTTTAACCTTTGTATAAGAGTATTAATTATTCTGGTTTTCATGCACACATGCCATGGAGAAATGCATGAAAACTCCTAGGCCTTCCAAATTCTCATCTTTATTTCTTTGAGAACAAGTTGAATAGAGTGAATTATAGTGGAACCATGTGCCAAAATAAAGCATTCTGACTGGATTTTTTAACTGTTACACATGTATTATGATCCATCCTTTTAATCTTCTTTACATAATTTATCAAAAGAAGATAACATTTCCTCTAATTCCTTCAATCCCTCATGTAGAATTGATTCGGAATTGTTTGAGGCAGACGCTCAAGAGTCACTACAAGACGGTTTGTTTGGAGATTACAAATTAAAAGCAAAAATTATTTTTTAGATTATATGGAACTCTTAAATTATCTTTCTACTAACCTATGTCATCTAAGGTGTAATTCCTAAATTCTTCATAGCATCCTCCAATATTATAATGAATCAGCGTTGATGTTTCAATTTGTGGCAGATAAAGATAATGCTACCAGAGTCCACGTTTAAAAGAGAATACTTCGCTGCCTTCACCACCTTGTTCTTTGCTTGGCTAGTCGGACCCAGTGAGGTAAGGAATTTTGTCTTTTTTAATGTGGATAGTGGTTATTTTTTAATATATATATATAACATAAGCCCTTCATTTTAGAACAATTTGAAAATGTTAAAAAAATAATTAAAAATAAAAAAATAAGAAAATTTTAATTTCTTTTAAAAATACGACATAAAAACAAACATGATTTGTTGATTTTACATGTGCTTTAACATTACTCCAAAAATTAAAGCTTTCAATTTGTTTTCTTAACTATAGTTGTGGGCATGCTTGCTTTGTTTGTTTTTTTTTCTCATCTGAAACCCGAGGGGTGTGATCTGGGAGGTTAGTGGGCCTAGGATCCTTTGCCTCGGGGAAAAACCATGCCAGTAGCAGAACAAAGCCAGTAAGGAATAGTTTGGCATTGCATACTGAAAAATTAAGTATCAAGTCCACCCGGAAAAAAACTAAAACCTTGAATAGTGGAGAATTAGCCTCCCCCAGATATGGCTTTCCTTCAACTAGGACAAAAATTAACTCGCACGTTGTGACTTCTAATTTATACGGTGGTAGTCTGGGTTTACAATTTAACTTCCTAAGTTGTAAATCAACATGGGAGGTGCATATTAAAAGAAAATTAGTGCTCAATACAAAATTAATGCATTTAACCTCCAAGTAACTAATTAAAAGAAAAACAGTTGATTTATTAAATACAAGGGTTAGAACCACATTTTTAAGAGTGCATTTAGCATGGCTTTTGAATTATGATTCATAGTTGAAAAATTATTTTCATATATAACTTGTGGTAAAAAATAACTTTAAATAGAAATATGTTTAGTAAAAATCACTCAAAGCATTTTTTTTTTAATAAGGAATAGAGTGCAAGTTATAATTTATAAGTTAAAAATTAAAAATAACTTAATTTATAAGTCATACTAAGCATTATTTTCAGATATTACCCCAAACTTAAATTACAACATAGCCGGGTGATAGCAAGTCTTTGATTACATGATAATTTGTTCGGCAAGCACCGCCATGATTGAACGAATTATACATTTGGCAATCCCAGACAAATGCATTCATGCAATTCATGTTATTTAAAAATTTAATTTTTTTATATATTTTAGATCATTTTAATATATTCATCTCAAAATTAATTTTTTGAAAAAAAAAATTATTTTAATATATTTTAACACCAAAAATACTTTAAAAAACATTCATAATCATATTCCTAAATAGGCTCTAATAAATTGCTTGACGGAGGATAATAAATGCATAAGAACTGTTTTATATAATATATAAAAGTGTTATATTGTTAATTCTTATGTGAAAGGACTTATAATTGTGCCCATAGCACCACCCTTATCGTGTAACAAGAAATACTCCTTCAAATAAATGATTAATCAAATTTAAAAGTATTAGTCCTCTATTGTTTTAATTAATCAAACTTCAGCAACCCAATATTTTAAATCGTAATTGGTAAATACAAAATTATTTTTTTAAATAATTAGTCTGATTACATGTTAAACATTATCTAAGCTTCCTAAAACAAAAATATATTGAATATGTCGTCAAAATCATAACCGTAAAGGTCGGGCTATTCATTCAATATTCACATTCCCAATTAAATTCATCTATACTGAATCTGTTTACTCATGCTTATTCTCCCTTGTGCACGGTTTGATATTTTTCTTTGACCCAAAATTCCTCTCAATAGCTAGCTCTACGTTAGGTCATGACAATCATTGATGTCCACAATTATGGGAACATTTTGCAGATTAATCACTCAATAAAGCACAAGCACACACCCCCACAAAGCATTTTGCGAATTAAGATATTTCTATTAAACTGTGATTATACCCTAACGAGAGTGATTTCATGGATTTTACAAAACAAGGTGCGGGAATCTGAGTTCAACGGAAAAAAGGAAAAGAATGTAGTCCACATAAAAAAGTGCAGGTAAAATAACTTCCCTGCAATTCCAAACTCAATTATTATAACCTACGGGGGTCCCACTATCCCATACATGTCACCAGCCTAAGACACTTTCCTCGGTAAATCTATCAGCTCCAATAAGCATGATGCTTCAAGGCTCTCTCCTTCTCCATTTCCATCATGGAGATCATAATGGCAATAATCATCATCATTTTCAAATCATCATTAAAGTTTTTATTGCACTTGGTATCTTAGCCATCAATCCTACACCTTGCAGGTTTTTAGAGGAGACAAACTGTGTTGGGATGTGTACCAATCTGTGTAAGATTCCGAGTCAAACATTTATCAAGCACTCCCTTGGAATGCCAGTTGACATGGTTCCTAGTAAGTATTCTCATTCAGCAACTATATGCATGGCCACACAGGCATAAGAACCAAATCACTGTATGTGGCACAATCATAAGAGACGGCATTTGAGGGCAAAAAGAAAGAAAGGACAAACACAGAACACTACTGCATAAGAAATCAATACTCAAATTTTGTTTTGCACTGCGAAAGGCGTATAATGTGCAGAACATTGGAATAGAAAGTTGCCAATAGAACAACGATTTTTCCAGTTTTCCTCTCACGGCAATTGAAAAGGAACAAAATAAAAAGGGATATACTTCAAGGAGTAATAGTACCTGCACTAGAGAATGTGGAAGCCATGCTCATCATGTCAATGGAGGGCCCCAAGGGGCCCCAAGCATAGCCACTAAGGGTGCAAAACTGCAAGTAAACCCATCCAATCTAAGGTGTGAATTTCAGCATATAGAAGAATACTGCTAATATATCAAGTCAAAATTACCTGAATTAGTGAACATTAATTAAAAATATATGATTCCATGATTGATGCCACCAAGTCGTCCAAATTCAATACAATCCGCTAATTTTCACCTGTTTCCCATGAAACCAATCATGATCCTTAACCTGCTCCCATATATCATGACAACAAGCACCTAAGTTGAACGTTAGTCACATTCCCACGAGCCAATCATTAGCTGAGTGCAAGGCCACCGCTGTTAAAATTTTGCAATCAACACAAGATGATTTAAATGAAGGGGATCTGTCTACTGCAGCTAAGTTACTAATGGTTTGCTGTCTGCTTTTGTAGATTTTGATGATATGAGCTGTGAGATGATATTTGGTCAGGAGCCTCCGGTAATAACTGAAGATCCAGCATTCAAACAGCCATGCTATAAACTATGTAATAATTCAAGTCACCCTCACATAAGCACATGTTCGTGCATCTTTAATTCGACCATATGTTTTGGCTTAATGAACAAAACTAACACATCCAATCTGGCAGCAGATTGGCCATATGTGGATCAGAAGAACTTTTGAGTGTTCTAAAAGGCAGTCTACTAATTGAAAACAATAATATCAAAGTTCAGAAAATAAAGAAGGAAAGTCGTTTCACACTCACACAATCCTTGTGTATTTTGCAGGTAAAGCAAACCGAAAGCACATTATGAAATGCTCAAATTAACATGAAGATGCAAGGAAGGAGGAGTTCGTTTTACAATCTGAACCTTTTATCCTGACAACTAATTGAGAGATATTTCTTTCATACGGTATACAATCCAGAAGTTCATGACCACTTGTACTAAGTCACAATATTGTAATGATTTTTTACTTATTCAATATACCACTTAAGATATGAGAGACAACTTGTTCCGCACTGGTAAAGAAACGGTAATATTGTATCTACTGTAGTTTTGCTCTGTTTCTTCAAGAATTTTGATGCATTCCTTGTAGGTATATAATTGTTGGCCTGTAACTAGGGTTATTTAGATTTCACAGTGCTATGGCAGTAAATACAAAAATATGATGATTAACCATACATTGAACTACGCAAATGTGTAACTTTAACTTATTGGAAAGATCTGAAATTATTTTTTTTGTGGCCAATTTATGATAGATGTCACAGGGCCCAAGATCTCAAACCCAGGATGGCTTTGGGTAGAAATGACACTCTACTAATCATGACTCCAAGATAATTCCATAGTTTTTTTTTTTCCTTTTTTGGAGATCAGTAATGGATGCCAGTCATAAATGGAACTTGCTGCTATAACAAGCAACTCAGATGTTGTGGTGTCAATGGGGAAGGAATATTTGTGGATTTGGATGAAACTCACTAATAATGGTCACACATATCTGAGACAAGAATGTTTGAAAAATTGAAGAGCTGGTAGCAAATCATGATTACCTCTAATATAAATGCTTGCATCATATACTAAACATGAAAGGTCATTCAAAATCAAAGAGGCTATTAGCATCAACTCTCTTTTCACCCCTTCATTCAGATGAAACCATCATGGTGGGCACCATTTAAATGAAGCCATACACTAAGGTCACAGTTTTGATTAGACAGATCCTCAACAGATTGATAAAATTTTGAAACATTGTTCCTCCCCTCTAAATAGAATTACCACCACGCTGATTTCATCACAACATTTGGTGAGGCTATGACTAGGTGCTAAGCCCCTACTTTCTTAATCATGCTCATAGCAAAGCCAATTAACCTTTTATTATGAAAAGTGCTTTGACGAAGGATTTATTGTAGGGTTTAGAATCAGCATGGTGGACCAAGATTGTTTCCCACCTTTTATGCTCTGTCAAATGATCAAACTAAAGATTTTTCTGCTGTCTTTTCTGTCTAGTTGAGAGAGTGACTGACTACTGCCACCCATTATAAAAAATTTAGCTGAAAGTGGATACCCTTCATAATAATCTCTTTGCAAGTGTTCAAATATGAGACTCAGTGGAGAGACAGGGCACACCTGGGGCCAACCTTGGAAGAGGTATCATTTCATTCTACAAAGACTGTGTTTGGATCTAAACAATAAGCACAATGGAAAATGCGTAGAGAAGCATCTCAAATTTAAAAGGATAAAGAAGGACGAATACCTGGGCGATGTTGGCAATAACAAGAATTTCATCACCATGCCTATTCTTGCCAAAACTTCACGACCATGGACAGAGGTTTTATGTCACCTCGATATCTTATCAACCTAAACAAAGCTGCCAAAAACTAAACGAAACTAAGAATCCACAAAATGCAAAAACTAAACGAAACTAACAATCCATAGAATTGAAGTAAAGCACACAAGTCTAATATTTTCTTCTACTTCAGACATTGGTGGAGCAGGACTTCCACCTTCAACATCCAATCCACAAACAAAAGGGGTCATAAACAGTGAGTTCCACAGTGTTGCACAACATAATTGCACTCAATTATAGCTAATTGCTTCCATCTGTATCAACTAGGTATAATTAATTGATTGATTTCAAGTCTTTAGAGTCTGATTATGGAGTAAAAGCATCATAAACTGATGCCAAATATCCTTCAAAACAGCATAATTTTCAACCCATGAAATCGTGAAAAGAAAATTCAATTTCAGTAAATAATCTTAACGCTGAGCTACATCAGTAATCAAAGGCCAAGCCAAGCTAACGAAAATAATCAAAAACGGATTAAAAAAACTGTCAATCAACCAAAAACATATACAAGAAAACGAGAAGGTACCATTCATTGCAGCACGACTGAGCAAAGAGAGCTCAAATGAAGGAACTTGGAGATCCGATTTTCAGATTTGTAGCAAAAACCGTTACTAAATTATCATCGTTGTACAAGTTTCTTGAGTGGAATCGGCACTGTGATTTCCTAGGATCAGCGCATCATGTCAAGTGCCTTCATTGATATGTTCAGTTCCAATTTCCAAACGAACAGGCTCTGGCAGGAGAGAAATTGTTATCGCTCTTTCAGATAGGGCTTCTAGTCGTGGGCTTGAGTTGGCCCGATTATATTGCTTGAGTGAGGAGTTTCGAATGGGCTTAGTAAATGGGTTGGGGTTTTGGGCTAATAATTAAATCTAAGTAACAATTAAAAAATTTAGTAGAAGGATGTGAAGGTGTAATAACATTGTTTTTTTAAAGTATTTTTTATTTAAAAATATATTAAAATAATATTATTTTATTTTATTTTTAAATATTTTTAATATATAAAAATAATATAAAAACAACAAAAAATATTAATTTAAAATAAAAACATTATAATTTTTTAAAAAACACATTTGAATAAAAAAAACACCACCTTATAAGTTTCAACATTCCTGCTGCTTGAGTTTCACAGTATTTGAGGTACTAGAAAAAGTAGATTTCTACGCTTATACCTGCCCCAACCTATATAATTAATTTTAAGATATTAAAAAATTAATTAAAATATATATAAATTTATTTGGATTCTCATTGTTAATAAAAAAAATTAGCATGGAAAAAAACAAACCGTGAGTAATGTTACACTTGACACCATGACAGTCTTAAAAATAACTATTTGAAAATAATATATTTTTGATATTTTATTTTTTTTACAAGAAATGGTTTTATTTAAAGAGTTATTATCTAGTATTATAATTACTAGAAACCTTAATTAATCATGAAAGATTATACGGTACGAGATTAGCTAAACAAAAAAAAAATTATTATTCTTTAAGCATCCTGTCTTGAAGTAGGGAAAGATTATACGGTACGAGATTAGCTAACAAAAAAAAATTATTATCATTTAAGCGTCCTGCCTGGAACCGAATTCCAAAACTCTCACGCATTTGATTTGGTGCGATGCTGTATTTTTAATTTTATCATAAATTATCAACATTTTATTGGTTTATGATATGATAATTTGCGTGTAATATTACTGAACTTAGCGCTGGTGAATATTACGTAGTTATAAAAATAAAATAAATTTAAATCAGTATTTTTATTCTCGACTTTAATGTCAGTAAATAAACAAATAAAATAAATATATTTTTAGGCATACATATTTATTAAATATAATAAAATAAAATAAATTTAAATTATTATTTTTATTTTTAACTCTAACATCCATAAATAAAAAAATATATATTTTTACGTATATATATATTTTTTATTTTCATGTAACTAAATAAAACATAATAAAATAAAATAAATTTAAATCAATATATTTATTTTTTTTATTTTTTTGGGTCTAGTTTAGCCTAAATATACTGCTAGGCAAAGGCACGCACCACGCGTGCGTACACAGCGAAGGGCTAATTAAATTCAAGCTGCACTGTGACTTTGTAATGAAACATGGAAGAGGAGGGAACAAAAAACACTTACCTGATCTGCAGGCGTTGCTGGAGGCGATAATGACGATGGTGATGTTGATGCTGGCCTCTGTGTCTTCTGCTTGTGTTTTCCTTTTGTTTCCCCTGTCTTTCTGTTTTCAGTTTCTTCCTTCGCTTCTAACTTTGTTCGTCGCCCCGGTTATTGAGATGAAGGAACGAAGACGATGATGAAATGCTGGTTCTTTTCTGTATACTTTTTTTTGGGTTTCAACCTCTGTTTCCTCCGGTTTGTTCCCTTTTCTATTTTTTCCCTCTGTTCCCCTTTTTTTTTTCTCTGGTCTCTCTCTAAATACTCTGCAATCCCCTGTTTTTCTTCGTCTTTACTCCATTTTTTTTATTTGTATATTAGGCTTGAATTATGGGACTAAACCAAAGCTAGGTTTAGCTCTCTGTTTTCTTCCTTTTATTCCCTCTGCTCCTGGGTTTTTTATTTTTGCTTTTGTTCTCTGTGTCTCCGCTGTTTCCCCCCTCCTTGTTCATCTGCTGCTGTGCTCGATATTTATAGGCAAGAGAAAGCCCTTGCACCTTCTAGAACGATCGTGCAGCTGCTGGGATAGCATCTATTAATGGCACATCATGGGCGAAAGACGTGGCCACGTTCTATGCCGTTTCTGTTGAATCGGGATGGAGGAGATGAACAGGAAAATGTTAATGGACATTTTCATGTTGGTCCTTGAAGTGTAGAAACTTCTGTAATCAAGCCCCTTGGTAAATTATAATTGGAACTCTGTTTTTTAGTTTCATTTACAAAATAATCCTTGAATTTTAATTTCTTGTACATTTGACCATAATTAGCCCTATACTTTGATATTATTTTAATTAAACCCTTGATTTCATTAATTAAACCAAATTCAAGTTCAATCAAGTCTCAAAACTTATCAATTCTTGAATTAAGTTCTTTATTTGACTGCTAAAACTAATATAAAGTTCAATTAAACCCTAAAACTTCCAATAATGTTGCTCTTAACTCAAATTTTTATTTATTTATTTATTTATCATTTTTCAATATAATAATAATAATTATTATTATTATTATTATTATTATTATTAAAATAAAAGGATAAAAAATGGAGTTATCACAAGTGAAAAACCATCTCCAATACAAAAGGGGAAAAACACGGCTTACTGTGATTCTTGGCACGAGGGATGGGAAGATAAGGGCTGTAAGCAAAGATTGTCGTTTGTGAAAGAACACTTGCTTGCTACTGAAGCAGGACATCATTCTCATTTATTACGAGAATAATGTTTGTCTGTAGCTCTTAAGGAAAAATTAGTGTGTTACACAGTTCAAGAGTAGAGTAAATTGCAAGTTGTAAGAGAGATAGCGATATAAATAAATAAATAAATAAATAAATACAAGTTTGATAGAATTTATCTGTCCATCCTTTTTTCGCAATAAAGACCGTCAGCGAACAAGAGATGATCCGCATCCATCGGTGATCAAAGAAAAATGTCAGCTGACATTCATCACATCCTGAGTTCCGGGGCCATTGTTTGCCCTTGGTTAAAAGCTCAGTGCCCTAAAGTATCCAATCATATTTGAACTCCACGTATATATATCCTTGAGCTTTAGCTTGGCAAATAATACTCCGGCAATGCCCAGTGAGATTGTCATATGCAGAGGCCCCATAGAGGTGACAAAGAAATGCAGTCACTGCACAGATTAAGACAAGATCGAAGACTTCTTTTGCAGTCCAAGTTCATGAAACCAATCAACTGCGCGTTGCCCCAGAACACATGTACCTCTCAAATTAACGTCAAGTCCATAGCAGTCGCATGTGCCCATGCCGGCGCACCATTAGCATCTTTCAACGTATAAATGGATAAGCTTGTGCACAATTTGGATAACAGCGACCCCAACTTTCCCATGTTTAGAGATTCACGGTCATAGCTTCTTCTTGCTATCGCAGATTTCCGCTTAGAAGTGGCGGAATAAAGGAAAGTGGCAAAAAAAAATGAAGCCCCAGGTTACGTAGGAATACCCGTTAATATCTGCGAGTGAGAGGAGAAATTGGTCTGGACAAATAACGAAGAGGGACCAGCCGACTGGGACATATGGGCCACCAGGCCTGTAATGGAAAAGTGATATGTAAGAAGGGATCAAGGCCCACAACTAAAGAGGGCAGCGAGTTGTGTTGCCTATCGCTTTATAACCCCACACTGCATTTGTATCTTTGCTTTCATCGACTGGACACCAAGTATTCTGGTTAGCATTTTGGAGGGGAAAAAAAGTAAAAAAGTATTAAAAAGCGAAAATATACGATAAAAAGAAGGTTTAACATGTTGATTTCCTCGCCGCTCGGTCTCTGGGGAGTTTAAATGTGTAATAGTAATTTCAAAAAAAATATTGTATTTTAACTGACGTGTGCTTTGACGGCAACCCTAAACAAAAGTGACAAATTACTATTGAAAGCGAATGATGATATCATTGGAATTTTCTAATCTGCAAGATGGTCTTGGAGATGCAATGCATTTAATGTACGCATGCCTTGTCCTTAAAGTTGGTGGGGATAAATGTGGATGAATTAGTCCAACCGTTCAGGATATGCTTGGCTCTTGTCGTCCGTCTGGGGCTTTGGCTAAATGACCTTGGTTCGTGAAAAATTACTCGTAGACTTATCAGACTGGTAAAACCCTATAAGGTATGCATCAACAAGGTGTCAATATCCGACTACGTGTTTGTTTTATTAAGATAGTTTTTATTGTTGTAATTTTAAAAAATATAATTAGTTGTTGTTAATTAAATTTAAATACCATAAAAAATATAATTAGTTGTTGTTAATTAGTAAAAATTATAATTAAAGTTTATATATATCAACAAAACATTTATAAAATGTTTGTTAATTGTATTAGAAATATAATTATGGTTGTTTTTTAAAGTGTTTTTTTACTTTAAAATTTATTAAAATAATATTTTTTATTTTTAAAAAATTATTTTTTATATTAGCGTATCAAAATAATATGAAAATACTTAAAAAATATTAATTTGAAACAAAAAAATAAAAAAATAAAATTTTTTTAAAAGTATTTTTAGAACATAAAAACAAATAGAGTTTTAAAAAAAATTTACAAGATTCAATTAAAAAATCATATAAAGATTAATGCACAAAACCATATTTCAAACTTAAAAAAGTCCCACGAACAATTTAATTTATTACCCAATAATTTACTATATTTATTTCACCGCAAATACAAAAACTAATAGAAAACAAAAGGCAGCCTAAAACGTTTTGCATCAAATGGTTATACTTACAGGTGTTATGACTGGTTTGAATAATGTAACAACCACGAACTATTTCATTTAATCACAGCAGGAAGCCTAAGCGACCGAACAAGCCCTACAGAAGGACCCAAGAAACCCATGATTTGGTTAGATTGGTGTGAGTGTTCAGGCGCGAATTATAGCGAGCAGTACCCATGAACTTCTGAGGGCCAAGCTCCATGGACTAAGGACTAATTAATTGCCGGAAAGATGAGATGAGAACAGGTTTTTCTGGACCTTTGAAAAACATTAAAAATCATCACATGGCATGCTTATGATGCGGGAGAAGGAGAAGTAGTCGTGTCTAAGAAAACTAGGTGCCTTCTATTTAGTTAATGCATTAACCATTAAGCAGCTTTCTATCGGTACTTTTGAAGACAAGCTTTAAATTCTCTCTGCCTATGGTATTATATAACCGGGGCCAAAGGGTCCCCAGGTCATAATCTCTCATACTCGAGTTCTTCTTGTAATATTTTTCCGCACGAAAGGATTGTTCTTGGGACCTTATGATAGAGCAAATTTTGCTTCTATAAGTTAAAAGGGCAAGTGTCAACCAACTTCAGAAAGATTGCAAACAAGCAAATAATGGAAGCAGTCAAATCTCCTGCAGCTCCGGCAACTAAAATGTGAAGAAACAGGAAATTATAGCCAGCTCCAAGCAAAGATTTGGAAAACTTCAGTTAACCAACCAGTCAAACCAAATCTAAATTGACAGCACTTCCACGAGGCAGCTCATGGATTACCCTGGACGGTTTGCCACAGCTCAGTCATTTGTCACTCCAAGCCCTTGCCCATGCTACTTGCTGGCCAGTGAGACATTTGGGCAGTCCCTTATCTTCTGCATCTTGCATTAAGAAGGAAAAAATGCAAGTAAAGAGTGAGGCAGTTATGAGTTACTCCTCCAGTTTCACTAACCATTACCTGTTGTAGGAGAGATACTGTCCATCTTCCCTCTCCTGTATAAATCCATTTTCCCAACCAACTAGAACTTACATTTCCGAGGATTCTCATTACATCATATGAACATTCGTGATCCGAAGAAGGGACTATCTAACAGTCAAAACACTTGTGAATCTCTCTAGAAAATTTGAGCTCACGGTGGGCGGGGGACGTTATGAATATGATGACCACCGACCAACACCCTCTAGCGACAGTCGTCATTGACATGAAGCACTTCTGACCAGAATTTCGGAGCAGCAGGTGGAATGATTATTCATTGCTTATTAGAGAAGACTTGTGTACTTAACCATACTTGACTGGTAAAATAATTGCACTTTTTAACTTACCAATATTTTAAAATACCAAACATAATGCGTGCTTGAAAGCTTACCCACACCAAATTTAACATTTTCATTCGTAGCTCGCCCCTCAATTCTCTTTACAAATTGCAAAACTGAACGTTAGGTTTCCCTGGTTTTCTGGTGAATTAAACTAAAAATTCCGTCCCAAATCGTTAAATACCACCCCCCTCCTCGAACCAAAGAAGGAAAAAAAGAAACAAAGGCCACTTTATTTTTTTGTTCTTTCAATTTTAGAATAACAATTTCCTTCTAGGCACGGGGACTACTTGATTGCATTTCCCCTTCCGGCAAAAGGCAGCGAGATCTCGGATGGTTTCGCCAATTAAATCCTTGAATACCAGCCTCTCGATATCTAAAACAGCTTCAGACATCTCAACTGGGCAGTCTCCCCATCCAGTAACAGTATCACCCGCGAGGTCCTTTCTAAGCATACCACAGATCACCTCAACCAAGTCATCCGATGCGTCTCTCTCCCTAATTTTTTGAAACTCTGACCAAACTTGTTGCAACGAAATCTGTCCTCCCTTCCAAGGAGGCAAATGTCTCTTTCGATTCAGAATTTCCGTGATTGTATCAAAAACAAGCTTTCTTTGCAGTGCTGGCACTTGGGAAGTGTCCTTTCCTTTGAGATGCCGCTGCCTCTCTAGAAACTGGAATATATCTGAGTCTTCGGGCAAATAATTTGAAGCGCGGAGGATATCAGATACGTACATAAAGTCCCAGTCGTCTGAATTTGACTCGGCATGAGAGATTGCTGTGCTCCACATATCATCCTCTAGTTCTGCCAATGGATTGGAAAAATCAAAAGGGTTACAAGACATCGATGTCCAGAGTCACGATAAATTAACAGAACAACATCATTATTCATAGGCAGCACTGTTCCCATTAAAATGTTCCTCTACTTTTAACACAAGGTAAACAGTGTCCATACAGTACGGACATGATAGCAACAAAGTCTTAATAGAACTGACAGAGAGAGCTACTGGTCATAAAAATAAGGAAATGCACATCCACAGACACCCACTGTGCTAGCTCTCTATAACAGGAAGGCAGGGCACTTTGTTTAACACAGTGGGCCATTATTAAAAGTAACCAAGACAAGCATGAAGCATTCTAATTTCTCATGGAAGTCCTGAACGGACATCTGCCAGTCACCTCCGGAAGCATATTCTTTTCGAAGTAAAGAAAAAGAAGAGTACGGGGTTCGGGGATATATATATTTTTTTCTTATTCCAGTAATTTTGC